GCTGCTTGATGGCAACGGAGAATTTTACCACTAAACCATCGACGCTGGGTGTTGATGATTCGAGTTGGTGACTCGGATGCTGGTTGGCGACGAGAATGAGACTCAAGTTGAGAGGCGGGTGGGTAGGTGCTGTTGTGTTCGTTCGCGGATTAAGATTGTGGAGGATGAGGGTTCACGAAGTCCACTCGGTCCACTTTTACCTTGATTGGACTCAAATGATGTTGTCCCCACTCCAAAAAGGGGGCACTCAAACTTGAGTAACTTCGCAGGTCTTGTGCAGTGATTTCATGTCTGATTTTAGCCTCATTGTTCTTCGCTGCGACTGCGGAGGCAACAGCGGACGGAAACGGATCTGGCGATATCCTATCAGCTTGGAACGAGCTTGTAGAAAGTTAGAGATACTCTGATTTCAGATTAGGTAGGTCGCTGCGCAAATCAGACGCGGTCACGCCGTGTGTTAGTGACCATAAGGCACATCGCATTTGGCGTCCGTGGCTGCCTGATGGCAATTTGCACCGAGAAACGGACACGAGCATCTAGCGCATCTACAGAGGGCGTCTAAAACTACAGGCAAAGTACTAAAAGTTGTCATCGGGTGTTGGTGCTACGCTGTGATTCGTGATACCTCGAATGTATTTGTGTGCTCTGTATAGGGCTGACTGAACCATAGGTTTCTGCAGTGCGCCTCGTGAGTTGAGACAATGAGGCTCAAGTTCAAGCCAAGCCGGAAGTGAACGAGAGTTTCAACGTCATCAGCTGGTCTAGCTGATGTTACTTGTAGAAAACTGGAAAATCCCGTTTGACTATGCCATCAGGATCAGTTTCCCCGTGCCACGTTAGAGCAGAAGCCTTGTGAGACGTCTGTTATACATGGGCAGCTAATTCATCTTGATATGTTACCCTCGTAGAGGCTGCTCACACCATTATGGCGACTAATGGTTGCAGTGTCTCCTCTTGTGCGAGTACTATTTGCTTCACCTGATCTAGCAGGGTTGTATGAAGGTCGCAACGAGGGCCCATTCATACAGGAAGATCACAGATCGTGAAGTCATCGGTCGCATGATCATGTCACCATGGTAGAGATTGTGAGACCAGCCACCCGGTAGAGCTGGGTTCTCTACAGCTGAATGTCACAGAGCTTGAGAAGCTACTATCAGCAGCCAGCTAACAGCTAATAGATCCTTCAACTTACACGGGCTGCTATCAAGGGCACTTTCGCAGCTCCTAAACCAAAGGTAGTGATGTCTGGACATCGTCCTTTCCCAGAGATGACAGTAATGCATGTCATTGATTTAAAATTTCGAATGACTTACTGATAGTAAGGACCATCGAAATGGAAGAGAAAGGGCCAAGTTGAGAGGCAGTTTTCGAGGACGACCTGATACTAGCGCATGATAAATCTTGAATGGGCTGAAGAAATGGGGAGATCTTTCGGATCAACTTTGGCGACCAGCAAAGTTCATTTGCCACGATGAAAGTATGTGGATAATCATGATACAGAATTCGGGGGAAAAGGATGAAGTAAAAGGGACAGTACTACGAGGTATCCATACCCGGAATGATTCTTTCATTCTTACGAGGCCGCAGCGACGTCAAGAGACACGCGCTGAAACCGTTGTGTTGGAGAATATGACCATGCAGCATATCTAACAATTGCTCGAAGAGCTGTAAATGTAAGAAAACAGACAATGGTCGCAGCATGATTTAGCGTGACTCAAGTGCTGTGGATAATTAAAAGGAGTTCTTACAAGGTGAAGCCTCGCTGCCCGCGGGGAACCTAAAATCAGCCATTTCTGTGAGGGTGAACGATGCGCTTTCAACTTGAGTTTTCAGACTCCAGCTGAGCCTCTTTCACACGCTCTTATTTTAGAAATTTTCGCCTTCGAGGATACCCGCCGGTATCTTGTGGCTTGCAGATCGAAACGTTTTCGCAGAAGGTTGCGCCTCTCCCTTAAGCACTCGACCAGCGCGGACCCAAATGTACACTACTCTCTGGCTTGATCCTAAATTCGGTTAGAGGGGAACCCTGAAATCGAGGAAGTGGCGTCGCGGGCCGCACCAAAGCCGCATTAGACCTTTCCCCGAATACCCCGGCGCCCCGAACGGGGAGCCGAGTCTTGCCGGATTCGGATACGAAGTAGACATCGACGTCATGAACATGCCTTTCAGGGACGTTGGTCGGACTCAATTCACCCGGCGACTTGACCAACGTTACGTTACCTTATTCTTAGCGTTCAAAGACCGAGAATCGCTTCAACGTGCTGGCTTCCTGTTCTCCCTTAGCGATAGAACTTAGCCGCGAAGCCGACTTAGGCGAGGTCTATCGTGTCCCTGTGTCATTAGCGATGTCTCATCGCCCATTGCCACAGCCCCTTGACACAAGTGGTGGATCTCGTATAGACTCAGTGGTCCACCGTCCGCAGACTGGCGAGGGAGAGGATCGGTGAAGGTCTCACCGCCACGAGATAATGAGCTGGGTAACCTGTTGAGCACCTGCCAATGTAGACGGGAAAGTCTACTGAGCCCAGTGGGTTCGAGTTACGATTTATCGGAGCCCCAGTTGACAGTTGGCAAAAAGTTGCGTCTCTTTCGCTTCCCGGCTTCTTGCAGAATTGAAGCCGATGGAAATATCTCGAACTCCAGGCTGACAATCCTCTTCCGATCTTCAAGTAGCATGAATGGTCAGCTACAAAACATAAACAGAGACAACAAATCATGACCTCAAGAGAGTCCGCGCTCAGGATTTCGGCCGAGCAACAAGTCATGCATAGAAGGAGACCCTTGCCATCGACATGCCAAGCTTGGCAGGGAGAGTGGGGTCGGCCAACTGCACGCTGCGCGCAGGGAAATCGGCTTTGGCCCGGTTCATCTGAGCCGCGGGAAAAAGCTTGGCGTGCGTAAGGCTCGCTCGGTCAACCTTCTGGGCTGAAAAAGAAGCCTCCGGGGAGCTAGTTTTCTCCGAGGTTGGGGGAGTGATGATCGCGCGACAGGGGTGACTTTGTCTGCAAGCTGCCCAAAATAGATAGATTAAAAGTTGACAATCGTCCCATCATGTGCCTTGAGGCGGGGAAAGTTGTGGGGTGATCCAATCAAAAGGCTATGCGTACGAGGGTTCGTCTAATCATACAACATAAGCTGCCAAACCTTGAGCCAGTCATTAGAGGGGGCTTTTCTGGATCCATTGTGGACATGCGGGAGTTTAAGCCTGGGGGTCTTTTGAGGGAATTCTAGGTGTTCCCGCAATTGAAGTTGGAAAGCCCCTTTTCCATGTTATGCCATGATCAACATTGGCTGTGATTGTACATAGTATTGGAGATGCTGCATGTTATGGTAAGGGGGCGCGGTTGATGTGTTTCATTATGCGCGCTCTCGCCATCAGAAATTCCTATTTTGCGCATGGCAGGAAACTGTAAATTGAACAGGGCTATTATCGAGTAATTGGAAGTGGACTTCTCCGTTGTTTATTTTGCATAATAGACGTCATATAGGGGTTGGAGGCTATGACGTTTCACCTCAAGACTAATTCGGGAGTCGGGTCAAATACGAGTTCGGCAGTACCGGGGTCCACCGATCGCCGTTGGCGATCGTCATTGCCCCGGTGGATAGCCTCCCGACTCCTCGTATTATTCAAGATTTGGTTGCAATCAAAGTGATATATAAGGTTGACAACTTCGCAAGTCATCATGGTAATTTCGATCTGTACCACACACAATCAACTCATCTAATCACAACCAACTCACAACACACAACACACAACAACCTATTCTTTAATCACCCAAACAAACACCTAAACCACCACCACAACCTTCAAAATGCAGTTCGCCACTCTTCTCGCTTCCGCCTCCGTCGCTGCCGCTGCTGCCATCAGCAAGCGTGACGTTACCTTCAAGGTCACCAACTTCGGTGCCGACTGCATTCCCCACAGCACCCAGTGCTCGTAAGTCTTGACAACTCTGCAACATCCTCTCACACATGCTAATAACCTTCTAGTTACGGATTCACTGTCATCCAGCCCGGTACCATGGAGACCACCGGTGTCAACTGCACCGCTCTTGTCCCCGGCAACACCGACGGCACTCTCCCCGATGTCAAGGAGGGCACCTGCACCCTTTCCTCCCGCACCTTCGACGTCGTCCGCAGCGCCGAGGGTCTCACCCTCACCGTCTCTCAGCCGGTTACCCCCAGCAGCAACCAGACTGGCTCCCACCTTCTCCCCAACTCCGACTTCGAGATCTCCAACCAGCCCAACGCTGTTGTTCAGCACTACACTGGTGCCCGCTCTTTCGACCTCGAGTAAATATTTCGCCTTGTTCGATTTATTAAAGAACACGCTCCAGCGACGATAGGAATGGGTGTACCTTCCACATAGCATTGGGAAGATGGCAAAAGATTGTACAACATATGTTTCGATAGAGTAAAAAAGATACCATCATAGAATTCAACTGATTATCCATCCACAAAGTCAATTTTCTCATGCCGGGCCCTCATTAATTGAACACAACCTCTAGCTCAATGCTGAGCTCGTGGTATATTGTGTGAAGGGTCACCTGATCCAGAGTAGCATAGGTTTTGCTGTACCGTGCTTTCATTACGATAATCACTCAGAAAGCTGATATGATGACAGTTCCCTTGTCCCTCGGTTGTACTAGACGTACCTGACATAAGTACATCTCTAGGCTTCTCGCAAGACTTATCTGGTTAATACCGACCAGACCGAATCAGCAGCAGGTGTTCTGAGCGTCTTCAGCCACACAAGGCATCCCTAGTAAGCCAACAGAGCAGACAGAATGCGTTTATGATTGGTCCTTCGCAATCCACTTAATCCAATCAAAGAAAATTTACAGATTCATCCTGCAATAGCAATAGTAGCGCGATCCTTGGTATCAAATGACTCACCTGCTTTTACATTGGTCGATGAATTAGTTCGTAGAACTCCAGATATTACAGCAGAAGCTGTTCAAGCTCAGATATCATCAGTGTAAAAGGACTTGAGATGTCTGTTCAGGCGCGGCAGAGCCTCGCCAGGTGATGTCAACTTCGGCGATCAAACTCTTCTTCATGTAGGAGAACTCTGCCGTGCCATATCATCGTCTACTTTTAAGCTTTGCTAATTTCAAAAAGAGGGCTAGTAATGTGCGTGGCCACTTATGGCCTGATCGAATGTCCGAGATTTGGGTACGGTTCATGAAGGAACTTGTACTTATGGGCGTACCCCTCAACGAAAGTGGATGTTTCGGGTAAGATTCGTTCTCAGTTTTCGACCATTGAACTTCAATAGACTAACAGACCTAGTTCGGCTCTGTCACGGTTTCTTGAGCTCCGTAGAAGAAAGCGCATGGAGCATACGAAGAGGACTTCACAAGATCTACCAACAGCCTCGTTGGCCCTTGCAAAAGGATTAATTCAACTAGGTGCTCTATATATCGATCGCCTAACATTCGGTTTAGAATCAGAAAACCTAGTCATCGTATCGGAATGGAAGATTTTGACTTTACCTGATATCTACCAGTGTTTCTCGTGGCATCTTGATGGTAAGTCTGATGTTAACACATCTCGTCTTTTTATGTTAGCCGCAAAATAATGACGCTGAAAGGGTTTGATTACGGTGCATTGTCCTCTGCGCTTTTTCAAAAGTCAGAACCGGCTCTCCGAAGGATTTTGATGGCATCGTCATCCATTATGATCGAGCGATGCGACAACGATCAGACTCCTCTTCATGTGGCCGCTTACTGGCCCAGAGGTCTCCAACTGCTTTTCGAATTGGCTGGAGATGCCTGTCGGCAAATCATTGATCTCGAAGACGCTTCGCAACTCACGGCAATTCACTCGGCCGTACTCTTGCATCAAGTAGACTCCGTCAAATTGTTGCTTGAACAGGGGGCCAGTATCGATCTTGAGAACAGTGCTACATTCTTTGGACACCCTTATACTCTCGACGCTGATTATCAGAGTCAGGAAATTATCGACTTGTTGTGCGATGAACTAGCCGTTCGCAGGAGAGAGATGTTGCGTTTTGCAAGGAAAACCTTGACGGTGCAAGAACTGTTCGCCCTGGGCACAACGAAACAAACCATGCTTCAAGCGAACGCGTTTGAAGTTCTCCAGGCACTTCAGGCCAGAAATATCGACATACCTTCAATCTTTCAGCGAGTCCGACCTGGATCAATCTACCATTCTCCGGTGATGAATGGTCAATTGACGGAAGGTTTATACCGCTCCGGTTTCGAAGGGTTCAACTCCGCATTCAATGGTTGGATCCCGCTAGCAACCATGAGGATATTCGGTGACTATTTCGAGGCAAATCCTGACGATTTATTGAACTGTATCGCCTGGTTTGAAGCTCACGGGGTTGACATTAAGCATGCCATCCCTACTTTTAGCTGCAGTTCGAACGAGACAATACCTTCATCGTCTGCGTCTCCTACTACTCTTCTTCGATTGGCCACTGCTTTTGGGAAAATGTCAAAACTTCCATGCTGCATTAACTCTTCCGACCCTACTATCTACCATGTCAAGAACAAGTCACTTCTTACACGAATCCTTTCTGATACATCTAGAGACGGTTGCAAATGTTATTGCTCAAGCCGAGGGTGTAGTCCAGCCTCCGCATTCGCCAAGGCTTGGCCAGGAGATGACAGTTATGTCAGCGAATACTGGATATTGAATGACTTGTGGAATACCTTTTCAACCATTCTGCATATTTCGCGCCAACAAAATCCGCAACCTTTGCTAGATTTTGTACGCGCGACGACGTTTGATTTCCTCGGTATGAGCCATACATGCTGCAAGTATAAGTAAGACACCAGGAGAAAAGCCAGAAACATCACGAATGTGTATGATGAGATATGGATAATGGACCCAAAGGAAGTGGCGGAAATACAGGAGGAAGACCGATATTTGGCCGACAACTTGGAAGTATTTGATGGAAGAACTTGCTATTAGGTTGATAAATCCAAGTTTTGACCTAGGAGACTTTGGGAACTATTGGCGCACACGAGTGGAAGAGGTTGAGGGAACGAAAGAAAAGTTGACCTGTGAGGATATACGCGCGATCCGAGAAATCGGTATCAGTTTAAAATGAGGCAGTTTGGCGAAGGCAGTCTTTTACATCATTTTAGATTTCTCTCCATTCAATGCCAATAATCTTAACAAATCACTGCCTCCTGTATGCCAGCAAGAAACTTCAAGATTTCGGGGATTGCGTGTTGTAATTTCCGTATTGTATCAAATCCTCGGACTTCAAGAAACGGATTGTGGCAGTCCCCCGAACTTGTGCCAATGACTATGCTGCATTCTGCAGGGTATTGACTACACAATCTACGATGTTGAATGCGTACGAGAACACATGAACTATCGATGTCTTTTAAGAAATTTGCTTGAATCGCACTATTCATTTCACCTTCAAGATGAGTCGCACATATTACCTGCTTATCTGCTGAGTTAACGGCCTTGCGTGACTTGCCTGCGGGAATGCGGATTAGTGTTCTCTCACTGACCAGTAAGCAGGCTCAACGAGCCGGCGATTGTGTTTACTCACCGGGCCCGACGGGTACATTAGCCCCAGCACTCAAACGCAAGCCACTTTTAACGATGCCTTCAAAGCAGGCGAGAGCGCCAGTCTCCTGGCTACGAGACGTCGTGGAAGGTAAGCTGCGATGGATCTTTAATTCATCGTTCACCGCCTACACTCCTAGTGTCCTCTTGCTCAGAGCCATTGCTACCTTAAGACTTCCGAGTGACCGCCTTTGCTTTTGTCAATGCATGTGTGATCATTGAACGAGGATCATCCAGCCAAAGATTCTGGAGGTGAGGGGTGACTCGATAGTCTCGATTCTCTATTGCCGTTCATTAAAATTTACCGGGCAGGAAGAAGTATTCATCAACTTCTAGGTGACTCGTTTGTAAACTATTATGAACGCGCTGAGTCAAGAAACGCCAAGTCGGATCGGCTTGACGACTTTTTATCCTTCCCAAACTTCCAGCCCCATCGCAAGAATGAAGTTGCGTAAGCCGTTGCTCATCTTAGTAGCTAGTGCCCTCCAGGAACAGAAATTTAGAATTATAATTTCTGCACACGATATATGACCGAGCTCTTGCTTGGCTGGCCCGCAAGCAACTTGTAAGCATGGTCACTTGCTTGAACGTGCTCACCTATCTCCTAAAACTCAAAATCAGAATCAGTCCACAACAGCGCTGCCACGACCCGCAGTCAAGTCCTTGGAAACCTCGAGTAGACGACGATCAACGACAACACACATAGGCCCAAAAGACTACGAAGTCTGGATTTACAGCAGACGGCTTGTGGTTGATATGGAAACGTACAAGAAATCTACAAGGTCAGTCGTTGTCTTCTGTAAGGCCTTGCATTGATTCGAATGCGGCTAGAAATACGGAGGCACCATTGGTGGGGCCGCAAGCGACGATCGTGGAGTGTTTGGTGATGTTAGCTCCCGTATTCTCGGCTTCTCCGTCATCCACATAGTGGCTCGCTTTATTCTTCGCAAAGCTAGATGTCCACACCGAAAGATTGACAAACTTTGGTTGTTGACGTATCGGACTCTGAAGACTCTGGAAGGTAATGATGGAGCTGCTGTGATACAGTTGCGAGCATCAAGACCTTACTGAGTGCGGCGTATATAATATGTTTGTTCAGCTCCAGCCAACCCAAATGAAATCACTAGGAAAATAATACCTTCAACTAAGACATCCAGCCTTGAACTTCCTTCATCCTACCTCCACGTAAGCACATCCACCAAACAAAGACACCAGAACATTCGCTGTATCACCTACACAAAGCAGAATGAAGTTCGCTACTGTACTTGGTCTCTTGTCATTGGCAACTGCCGTAACCGCAAAGCACTACTGCTTCGGCGGCTGCGTCAAGTGCTACTGCGGCGACATCCAGTACGACGACCACCGATGCTCCATGTGCAGCTGTAATCACAACGCGTACAAGTCCGACGACCCCAACAACAAGCAAGGCAACTGCGATCAGCCTGGCGGATTCCATCTCGGATGCGGTTATAACTCGAGCGGAAAGTGCAAATAAGGAGGCGTGAGTGGCTGTTGGCATGAAGGATATGCTAGCTCATGGTCCATGGAGAGTGTAGGAGCCACAACGTTTGAGCCGGCGTGCCAAATATTCACATTTGCCAGTCTGTGTAATGGGATCGAGTGCTGGAGCGGCATAGACCCATGGCCATGAAGAATAAGGCGACGTTGATGTAGGAGTAGCGTGCATCTTGAGGAATCCAGGGTTCTTGGATAGATTCATATGACATCCTTCTGGGCCTCTTGTAAAGACGCCTGGAGTGAATCTACCTACGCTAAACAACATTTTCTACGATCATGAGACGAGATCTAGTACTGGCCGAATCATCTACGAAAGGAAACTACATGATATGTCACGGGCTGGTATCCCCGAGTCTTGGTCGCTTCATAGTCTTGATGTGAATGGAGTTCGGTAGAATGGCCAATAGAGAGGCTTGAGAAATGGTTTGCGTTCGACTCAGTTGGCGGGTAGACTATACTAATGCGGCTACAGACGTAGGGTTTAGCTCAGATTGTTATGAGGCTGACATCTTTAGAGTTAAGTGATTTGCGAAGCTTAGTTGAAAGCAAGTCGTAAGCAAAGGCAGAAGCCCTGGCTGACTAGGTTGTGAAGGTCATGTAATACGCGAACTTGCACTTAAATCTAATGACAAGGAGCGTACTCAGCTTGAGGTGATTCTTCGGCGGAGTTACGGACTCAGTCTATCCGGACAAAAGGTGTCGTTATAATTGCGCGTCAACACCTTAAGTTTCCAAGTTCCCCTGGCACCGGTGGGATGCTTTCTGGAGTACGCTGCTGTTGATGAATTAGAGTTTGATTGCCGGTCTCAACGGCATAGGCCATGCTACCGACGGGATGGAAAGGAGGCAGAGCTCAAGAGGACACGACCTCGCTCGCCGCGGGCTGTCGCATCTTCTGCTCATCCAAACCTCTTCCGCCAAGACGAACACCCATCCGCATACGTGCACCAAACGCCAACAATGGTCGCCATCACCCTCCCGCTCCTCGCGGCCCTCGCAGCAACCCCGTCGCAGCTAGGCATCGTCTGCGCGCGCTTCAAAGAATCACTCGATCCATGGGCGCCCGTCGCCGCTTCCACCTACCTCTACTCCAAGGGCGGTGTGCCGCAGATGAACGACACCGTTCAACACTCTTCGTTCCGCTCCTACGTAGCCCTTCCCAACATCGGACGAGAAGGCCACACGCACCTGCACCACATCGTAAACAACTACGATACCCTCGACGAGATCATGATATTCACGCAGGCGGATCCCTTTGACCTCATCGCGCCCGCTGTAAACACGACAGAGCAGATGGTGCAAAAGGCGATGACCGTCCCGGCCGACGACGTGACGCCCTTTAACGACGCGCTGTTCCACGATGTCGCGGACTGGGGCAAAGTCGACTGGAACAGCTCGGCACAGAAGCTGTGGATCACGGCTAACCAGATCAAGAGCTTGCAGTTTGCGCCGTACACGCCGGCGCAGTTTTGGACGATGGTGGTAGGCGGGGAGCATCCGCCGGCGATCCGGGCGATGCACGGCGGGACATTTGCCGTTCGGCGGGAGACGATACGGAAGCTGCCCAAGGAGGCGTACCAGAAGGCGCTGAACGAGTTCGAGACGGCGAATTCGACGAATCCGGAGGTTGGCTTCTTCATGGAGCGTATGTGGGCGCCGATGTTCGCTGAGAAGTACCGATTGCCGAGCGTGCAGAATCCATGATGGTGTTCATTCCGGTCGGGGGTCCACGTGGGGTCACCCCTTGAGTTTACGGAAGTAAAACATGAAGAAAACAAGAGACTGCGAGCAATAGAGCAATAAGATTCTGCTATTTGGCCAAAAATGCAAAAGAATACTCCTCGACGGGGAATTGAACCCCGGTCCCCTGCGAATCGTTGAATCTTCAATGACAAGCAGATATCCTCACCACTAGACTATCGGGGATTGGTGGATGTTGACATCCAGTGATAGTTGGTTGGGAGAAGCCGTGGAGCTGGGGACTAAGTAGGCTTAGACCTGAGTCCTGGCTCCACGGTGGGGCCGCGTCCTTGTGGAAGGTCCCATTCAGATTTGTGTAATCGCAACTGCATGTTGGCATGATGTTCAAGCGAATTAGCATCATCTCAAGCGATTTCTCAGGCTGGTTTACTCAGATTTCTTTGTTGTGGAATCTCACGATCGGCCGACAATGGGGCGGGCAGTGGATAAGGGTTTTAATACCTGTTCCGGTATATTACGGACGGGATTTTATGATGGGCATGCTCGGATACTCTGATGTACAGCCTCAAATGAGAACTCGCTACTCCGTATTATAGTTTAACTTGGACGAAGTACTCGAGTGAAGTAACAGACCAAACAGATGAAATGTCGATTGAGTAGGGAAATAGGTGAAAGAAAGCCTGAGTCATCTCATAGATTGTCAAGAAGATTCCTGGTATGAAACCCCGATTGCATACCTGATGGGCGCTGATTTCTCTCGCAAGGAGTTGAAGGATACCAATATTGATTACAGGAGTAACGTGGCGTAAATAGAAAGCTGCGTCTGGGAACAGATGTAAGGCAACCTACCGCCTAGAGGGACGTAGATAGTACCAAGACAGCGATGTAGGTACCCTCAAACTCGAACGTCTAAGCTAACGAGCGTTCGCTGCAAATGCTGCCATATACAGGACTTCTCTTTCCATCTCTTAGGACCAGATTATGTGCTTTAAGACAATAAGACCGGTGTGGCCAGCCCCATCACCCTGCAACCTGGTCTTCGCGGGGAAGGCCACAAGCAATGACATCCAAGCAGTGGGCCACCATCTGTCAAATACGGAGCTTGAAATTCAAGGTACCTGTCAGCAACCTCTAAGAAAAGCGAGAGCAACCATGCATGTATATCGCATCCTTTGCTGGAATCTTCTTCATCAGGAGCAAAATTTCCGGAAGTTCATCCCGCACCCCCACGGCCCCGTCTTACCGGGGCGGGGCAGTCGTACGGGACAGATGCGGCATCACCAGCTTCGTTACCTCGGACCCTCACAATCATTGGTAAAAAAGTGAGATGAAAAGCAAAGCATGGCGCTATGGCTGTAAATGACACTCATAAGCTGCATCTTGGCGCTTCCAATAGCTTCTTCTCTGAGGACGGAAAACCCATTCCCTTCTCGTCTCTGTGGTCCGACGCTTACTACGTGTGCTACGTAAGGTTGGGTTGCGTTTGGTTTACCCTGCATAAGGGTTCTGCCGCTGTGCCCTTAGTCTCAGGGTCTCAGCCTAGCGTTTACCGAGAGGCCGAGCTCTAGGTGGTAGCCTCAACGGTGGTGACGCCCTCATATCCTCTAGCATTTCCGATGGGAGAGAGACCAACAACGCTCTTGCATCAGCGCAAACATCGGTGGGCATTCGTCGAATAATCACCTGGCGGCACATTAGAGTCCCTCTCGTCGCTTCATTGTCCGACAGCGCATATCCTCACACCGACGAACAGCTAAAGGCACAGGGTCCAGACTCAAAAAGGCCACCTTGGCGATGCGCATTCGCCCATCCTCTGCCAATGTCCACCCCCTCCCCGTATCGTCATCTTGCTTCCAAACACACAGCCAAATTCCAGATTCGCAGGGGTTCAACCAAGGTCACGGATCGAAGGCAAAGGGCCCTCATCTTCCTTCCTTCCAGTTCCTGGCGGTCAATCATGCACAGCCTGTCATCATTGTACATTGGCGCCGCATGTCATCCCGTCGACGGCGCGTCTAGACCCCGAAGATCCTGCTACGACGCACCCCCTCCCCTGCTCGGTGAGTGGTGCGTACCCTATCGGCCGGGAAGAATTAGTGTTCCTCCCGTTTGGGACTTCAAGTCCGATTTGCCGGCGGGAGAGGACATGTGTACAATGGCAAGGGTTGAGGGGACGGCGTTCGTTGCAACTATCGTGAGATGAAGCGCCGTCCGTCTCCGCCAAGGAGGGGTACGATAGAGAGGGGGCAGAAGGGAGCCGAAGTATCGGTACTGCTATATCGAGAAAGGAAGACACGGCGCGCCTAGCGCTTCAGCCGTGATGCGAACCAGAATGCATACACTTCTCGACACGCCCCTAGGAAAGGAGAACAATATGCCGTGCCAATATCGGTGAGAAAGGGGCCTCGGATCACACCTTGGTATCATTGCTTCTCGGACACGGGCACAAGGCCCGCTTGCGTCTTTCGATGCGCCGGCTCTCCATCGGCGCCCGTCATCGGGGTCTTGGGTAGACGGGTTGGTCGCGAGCCGGGCTAGTGAAAGCCCGTGGGTAAGGGGATCGGGAGACCGGGCTTTCGGACGATGTAAAGAAGATTGGATGACGGGGTGAAATCGTGAGCTAGAAGCTCGCTGGCATAGCCAGGATCGGAATCGGAAACATCCATCGCTATCGTATTCATGAACACTGGTTCATGAATACGGGCCGGCGAGTGTGCCGTTGGAAAGACTTCACCATACCGAGGGAAGTGCCTTGGCTTGCCCTCTGATCGCACAATAAACAAGAAAAGCGGCCACAATCGTATGGTCGTACTGCCAACAAGTGGTACCACTAGGACACCGACTGGATGCTGTTTAGTTCCGCTCACAGGTCAACACCCAGCAGCATGAGGAATCAATTGGGCAGAAAAGCCATAGAGCCGCACTGCCAAAACCCTGCTTGTGAAGAAAATGCGGAGAATCTCTGGGGCATTACCTTTATTCGAAAAGGAAAACCCCAATGGCCGGGAATTTGCTCGCAGGCGTTCCCTGTCATCGTATCGAGTTCGACAATGGTCTAGAACCGCGAGGTGGTATTCAGAAATCCATCTTCTCCATCAGAATGTCCACTGCAGGCAATTGATCAGCACGGGTGGCCCCAGTGTCAAGTGATAGGTATCGTCGCCCCGGTAGAAGGGTATCCTCCCCGAACACCCCTCTCCCTGCCAGATGGATCCTGCGCTGAGCGGGCTGAGAAAGCATATTGGTTGACTGGGACAGTGAACCCTAGAGAAGCAG